CCCCAAAACCCCAAAACCCCGTTTTTTTGGAATATATTAAAATTGAGGGGATTAAAAAATTTTAATCATCAAAGATATAATAATCAGATAATAATTATTTTACCACTATTGCATCACACGTTTAATTTATCCAGAATTTTCATTATATTCTAGTTCAACGTTTCCAACTGAGAGTTCACATCTTATTTAAATTACTTAATCTCAAAATTCTAACTCAGCATCTTATCTTTCATCATCTCTATTTATTGCTTCATAGATTTAACGTCTGTCTTTAGAATGTGTACGTCACTTTTAGCTTCGTGATTAATTGTTTACTGGCTCAAAACAATTTCATTCTTAGATTTCTAAATCTATCCTTTCACTGCTTGTTTTAAATCCTTAATAAATCCTTGCCATTCATCTTTAATAATTTAACAATAAGAATATCTTACTATTTCCAAGTTGAGATGTGTTAACTGGTCTTCTTAAAAGAATGTAATTCGGGAAATAATATGGATCTTTTTCATTTTTTTTGCTAAAAAATACTTCTCTTTCTACAATTAATTTTGCTTTATTTCTATATGACTCTGCTACTGATTTTTGCATAACCTTCTCATAAGACTCTGATATAACTGCAATTATAAAATTCATGAATACAACATTTAAGACCATAACTGCTACTAACCAAATTATCCAGGTAAGTTCAACTATAAACTATGGTTGATCTCTATAATTTTCAACATTAAAATCTCCTGCTGCTATTCTAAACACCATCACAATGTAACCCATTGAACTTATCCCTTCGTATTCTTATATAGGAGATCCTCTAAATAATATTGTAAATATAAGTCCAAACTAAGCAATAAAAATCATAAAAAACCCAATAAAATACTTTAGATCTTTAAATACCCCTCCTATCATAGAAACCAAGAAGCTGAAGCCATCATAAATTCTTAGGAAAAACAAAAGTTTCATAGAGGCAAATATTACAACAAGGATCTGCATAATCAAAATGAAATCAGTTATATCTTAATAGAACTCTACATAGTTTAAAAGAATGTAAGATAGGATGAGACTAATATCAAATAAATTCCAAATATCTTTAAAATAGCCACTTTATTTAATTGCCTGTCTAAGCTCATCAAAAAGGAAATAGAGTAGCACTAAGGAATTATTTATCTTAATAATAGCTATGTAGTTAAAATCTCTTGAATCTTTCTTAAATTGCATTTAGGTTTTCCCATAGTAGTTAGAGTAAAATATTTCAAAGATAAAAAATAAGACAAATTCCATGAATATATAGAATTTGAACTCATAATAGCCTTTTGAGTATGTTTACCATTTAAAGTTAATGATAGTTTAAATTACTGTATTTTCAAAGTATTCATTTGCATCACTCTTGCTTAAACTTATCATTAGGTTTTTAGGATTTTATGACAAAGTCTTTTACAAGTTTAGCAGCAGGTACTCAATAGACAATATTTGGCCAGATGTATTATTTTCAAGTTAACTTTAAATTAGCTCTGAAAAACTTTTATTGTGAATGTCCTTTAAATGATCTAGCTATACTCCAACAATCAACTCTTAATCATTTTAAGAGACTTGTGGAAACCCATCATCAATAATTGAGTAAACAATCATATTACTTTGCAGATAATCTGTTAAATCCACTCTTAAATTAATCAATTTACAAAGATGCTTATCTACTATTTCGTTAAACATAACATGGTCTTGATACTTGATTAATAAGTCTAAAATTATTGCGATACTTTTGTGCTGACTCTGCTAAATTGCCACATCAAGTGCAATTTTGCCCTGATATTTATTAGGCAAAATAAGAATAGGGATATTTTTGGCTTCAAAAATTGAAATTTGTTTTTATATAATCTCTAATATGATTGGTTTATTAGCGAAAACTGAAATACAATTTCCAATTCCTGGATAAAACTTTAAATATGACTTTAGATCTTTAAGTTCTTCTATTATCTCATCATTGTTTAAGAGTTTTAAATCACTCATTTTATGTAATTCTATATCTGTAAATTAAGGATCTAGGTAACCAGCACATTTATCTTCACCTACGCAGTAAAAATAGATACCATTTTCAGATATATTAACTTTATAGCTCATTTCAAAGTATAAAGCCATAGCTATGGGTTTGAATAGGTTATCCTCACTTATAAGGCTTCTTAATCCTGATACCTAGTAGAAAATATTATGCTATTAATCCCTTAGATTTGGGTTCAATGTTTGTATATTGACCATATTACCCAAATTGACTTGATCAATTTAAGAACTTTCATAGATGGTAGGCTTGTTTTAAAACTTATTCTTTAATTAAATGTGCTTTCCGAATCTTTTATTCTGAATAACATATATATTTTAGTAGAAAGAATCAGAATCTTGAATACTTGAACTTTAAATAATGATGAGACTATCATAAATTTGCACATTTTCTATCCTATCAAAGTTTGAAATACTTAATGCTTGCAAAAATATTCTTTTATTCATATCAAAAGCTTAGATTTTATTTTTCTAAATAAGCCAGATGATATTTTACTTTTTGTCTAGCACAGCATTAACTAGGTTAATTGGTAAAAGAGAATCCTCTGATGTAAAATCTTGAGACTCTTCTTGTTCATAATCGACAATAGAGAAAACATAATCTGACTTTATTATAAAAATGTAATACCTTTCACTGTGTAAGTTTTTCAAAAAGCAACAATTTTGATTTTGATTGTCAGTATCAACTGTCAAAATCACCTCATTATAAATTTCAGAGTTGGTGTCAAGATTTATAACTATCAAAATGAACTTGCCTGACTCAGTTTAAACTAAAATGCTTACTTGTTGGATTGATTAACTTTAAATTATTAATTGCTTTATTATTTCTTTGTTTAATTCTATCATATTGGAATTCTTATCGTCATCTAAGTCTAGTAAATAGATCTAATCCATATTTTGAATTAAAAGCTTGTTTTCTAATAGATAAATTATCTTTGATTTCTTGTCTATATTCTCAAACTTAACTTAACCAACGAAATCATTTTATCTCAAGTCAAATAGCTGAATACTATCATCTTAGTATTGAAATATGTATCTTTTGTTTGCTAAATACTGAAGCTAATCGCTTTCTTTTAAGTAAAATGGCTATTAATTTGATGGGATATTAACGTAATAATAGATTCTTTGAATATTCATTGTATCATAAACAGTAAAGCCATAGATAAACTTGGAATCTTTCGGAAATATGAGACTTTTAATCTGGGTTTAAAATTCATATTCATTTATCTTTGAGAAGTCGAATTTGTCGTAAACTAATAAATTACTCCCTTGGAGTGAATCATAGTAGATCAAATAAGAATTTTTAGTTGATATAAAGTTGATACTGCTAATTTCTGTTAATTCATCAATATTTTTAGGTTGATCCAACTTATAAACTTGGACAATTTCACTACTTTCATTTATCAAGTATAGGTTAAATTCCTTATCTACTCCAAATTTTTCAAAGTCTTAAGAAAATTTAACTATTGTACTTAGTTCCTAGATAACTTTGAAATTATTCAAGTTTAAAAGATATGTTTTACATTCGTTTTAAATACTTATAACTATTAGCTCCTCCTATTTGAACATATTTAAGTAAATTAAACTTTTGCAAGTAATATTCTTGAATTTCTCATCATATGATGCAGAAATACAAAGCTAATTCATATTACCTTAGATATCACTTTCCAAATCTTAAAAGAAATTATCTAGATCAATAATCTAAGATTCTTCTATATTATCTAATGAAATATCAAAGTTAAGAGACAAAAGCCCAAAATTTTCATTATTTTAAGATTCGTAACTAAGAATAATATTTAACTCATCGAAGATGAAGACTTAGTTTATACTCTCGATTATGGATTTTGATTGTAATACAGCCAATGGTTCAGACTAATCAAACAAGTTATCTAATTGGTAGATTTAAACTTAATAGCGGGAGAAAATAGCAATATATTTTTCATCTTCGTTAATTTGCGCACTTCCTGATTATTTAATGAAATCTAATTCTCTTACTTATAATAGACTTAAGGTTTTGGCATCTCTTAACTCAATTCTGAACTTTTCAGTACTCATGATTCGATGTTTAAACATGATTAATACTTTTTTCTTATTCATTACCAGTTTTATATAAATGTATTCTGTAATATCAAGTTAAGATTCAAATTAGACTTCTTCTTTTGTTTGGAATTTGCTCAGATCTATTTCACTGATAAACTAATCTATTGCAATTTAATCTTTTGTTTTATGTTCTTATTGCTTTTTATTATGACCAGCAGCTCATTGAGATTTAAATTGATTAGACACTGATTGATCAATCAATGGCTCTGATAGCTGAGAATTTAAACTTAAATAGTTCATTTTTAAGGATATTATAATTATATTATTTAAGATTTTTTACCCTTATTTAATTAAAAGATTTTTAATTATGATAGTTTAACTATTCATATTAGATCTTAATCAAAGGGGTTTTGGGGTTTTGGGG